AAGAACAATAACTTCAGTTTTGTCTGAATTTAACATCAGGAAATTGGTGCTCATCCAAGTTTTTATGTCTTTAAGGCAGTTATGGAGTTTAGTTAATTGATTACTTTCTTCTGGCTTCATCGATAAATACAACTGAGTATCATCCGCATAACAATGGAAATTTATAGTGATTTCTAATGATGTTACCTAAAGGAAGCATATATAGAGTAAATAGGATTGGTCCGAGCACAGAACCTTGCGGAACTCCAAAACAAACTTTGGTACGTAAGGATGATTCATTATGAACGTGAACAAACTGAAAACAATCAGATAAATAAGATTTAAACCAGCTTAGTGCAGAACCTTTTAGGCCAATTAAGTGATCCAGTCTCTGTAGCAGAATCAAGTGTCTGTGTCTTTACTTACCAATATTTCATTGTTTTTATTATCAAATTGAGATTGTCGGGCTCAACAGCTCAACTCTGTTATGTGAATTGAGGTTAGTAAACAGGTTTTTATGAAAAAAACAACAGTAGTGTTGCATAATATTACAATTTTTTGACGTCCTAAATGTCATATGGTGCTACTGTTTTAGCTAGATTTGTAATTATGGCTAATATTAGCCAAAAAGCGATACTTCCCAGCTCTACCTGGAGGATCCCGAGGTGTTCCCAGACCAGATGAGATCTATAATCCCTCCAGTGTGTTCTGGGTCTGCCCCGGGGCTTCCTACCAGCTGGACCAGGAGGATCCTGATCAGATGTTGAACCACCTCAACATGAAGGAGCAGCGGCTCTACTCCGAGCTCCCTCCAGATGTCTGACTCCTCCCCCTATCTCTAAGGCTGAGCCCAGACACCCTACAGAGGAAACTCATTTCAGACGCTTGTATCTGTGACCTCATTCTTTCAGTCACTACCCAGAGCTCATGACCATAGGTGAGGGTTGGGACGCAGATGGACCAGGAAATCAAAAGCTTCACCTTCCGGCTCAGTTCCCTCTGAACCACGACAGAGTGAAGTTTTTGTCAATATTGTGATAACAATATGAGGTTAATGTTTGTTGAACTGCGTATACAATTTACTGGTTAATAAGAAATAATATTAAAGTCTGATCAACATTAAACATTGATGCATATTTTATAGTCAATATATAGTCGATGGTCAAATTTTAGTATTTAAAAATAATAATTATATTTAGAATAAGTGATTTTAAACAAGGGACATCTCATTAATAAGGTTACAAGACTTGAATAACTTTTAAAATCCTGTTCACACAAGATATCATATGATCAAAATTATTTGAGGTACTTTTTTTTTTTTTTTTTTAAAAAGAGAGCTAAAAGGCACCCATCTCAGAGAATCACCCACTTAAGCTGAAATATCAAAAAGTGTAATGTTTGGTGATTAGCTGCTAAAGTTAGCATTCAGCCACATATCTACGTTGATCACATGGGTGATTTTACAATCAAACACTTTGTTGTTTACTGCTAACATTAGCTGAGATAGCTAATAGTGTGCTACTTAGTAATTAGCCAATTTATGCAAAATTAGCATTCAGCCACAAATAACATTATTTCTATATATTTGTAGGGTAATATTAGCATTCAGCTATACACGACTTTAGGCACATATAGCAGTTACTGTGAAGCTAACAGTAGCTGAATATTCAATATATTGAGCTAATGCTATTATCAGCAGTGATGGTTCATGTCAGCTAACGTTAGCATTCAGAGCAAAGTCTCTTAAGTTTAGCTAAGACGTTAGCATTCAGCAACATATGATTGTATAGATGATTTTAGGCTAAAATAAGATGACATGAACAAACATTTTGTTGCTTACTGCTAACATTAGCTGACATAGCTAATAGTGTGCTACTTGGTAATTTGCCAGTATCTGCTAAATTAGCATTGAACTATATTTATGACTTATTTCTGTGTATTTGTAGGCTAAAAATAGCTTATATAAATAACAGTGTGATATTTGGTGATTAGTGGCTAAAGATAGCATTCAGCCATATATAAATTTAGGCCCATGTTGTAGTAATTGTTAAGCTAGCATTAGCTGAATATTCAATATATTGAGCTAATGCTACCATCATCTGTATTAGCTAAAACTATGAATGCTCAAGTTAGCATGTTAACATTAGCTGACATGGTTAATAGTTTGCTACTTGGTAATTGTTAAATCGTTAAATTAGCATTCAGCCATATATAGTTTGATTTATGAAGGCTATTTTTTGGCAGGCTAATACTAACTTACGTAATAGTGAGATATTTGGTAATTAGCGGCTAAGGTTAGCATGCAGCCATATATGACTTTAGGCCCATGTTTATTGTTAAGCTAACATTAGCTGAATATTGCTACAGCTAATGCTATCGTCAGTAGCGTTAACTCATGTTGGCTACCGTTAGCAATCAAAACAGAGTCTTTTAAGTTTAGCTACATTTTATATTCAACCATCCCAGGTAGACGAGGAACAGCCTGCTAACGGGTTTTTCAAATTGGCGGCTGGTTCCTCTTGTACTGCGAGGGTGGGAGCTCGTTGTCATGGAAGCACTATTTTCACAGAACTAAGAAAAGGTTCCTACGCTCTGAAAACACCTGCTGACATGCTGTGGTTAGCTTATTAGGTAATCAGTCAAAGGTGTGTGTGTGTGTTTGCAGTCCGACCAGCTCTGCTGCAGTTTTGGCAACGACTTATATTTATCTAATCACACGCACACAGACACACACACACACACACACACACCTCTGACAGATCACTAAAAAGAAACTCAGTGATATTTTTAGCAACATCGATACAAAATCGTTAAAAGGAACCATAATTACAGTGAGATGAAATATCTGAGAGGTCAGATGTGTGTTGTTTTTGTGTGTGTGTGTGTATCGTCATAGCGAAAAGGAAACCTCCGATTTTAACACAAAACCATGCAGCAGGCGCCAAAGTCAACAGAGCTGCTATGTGGTTAAACTGTCAGAGACACGCAGCTGCTGCACACAGCACCCCAGAGCGTTGTTATGTAACGAGGCCGCGTTTCATCAAGTCAGTGTTCATTGAGCCAAACGTGTCCACGGAACAGTCAGTGATGTCGTATCAGATCACCTGCTGTTATCACGGTAACCACGGGGGTCAGCAAATTCACCAGGAGTCTTTCAAATTACAAAGATTTACCAGAACTCATTTTCTGTAACCACAACATCCCCTTATCTTAGCTGAATGGTAAAAATCTTCTGGCATTCAATGTTAAAAAACTCTCTGGCATTGAATGTGAAAAAACTTTCTAGCATTAAATGTTAAACTGTCTTGCAATGAACATAAAAAAATCCTGGCAATGAATGTTAAAAACTTTGAAACATTAAATGTTAAAAAAAAAACCCTAATGGCATTAAACGCTAATCTTTCTGGCAATTAGTGTTTAGGCTTTCTGACACTAAATGATACAATCCTACCTGGCACTGAACATTAAGAAAAAACTTTACGGCATTAAACATGAGAAAAACTTGCTGGCAGTTAACATTGAAAAAAAAATCCTGACATTGAAAGTTAAAAAACTCTGGCACTGAATGTTAAAAACACTGGAAATGAACATGAAAAAACTTTCTGGCAGTGAACGTAACAAAGAAAAATCTGCCATTAAATGTTAGAATCCTCCCTGGCATTGAATGTTAAAATTCTTTCTGGAATTAAATGTTAAAATTTTTGGCACTAAGCGTTAAATATTCTGGCATTGAATGTTGAAAACTTGTACTAAAACAGAATATTAAATAGTTATCTGGCATTGAACATTAATTTTTCTGACACTTTCACAAAACTTTCTGGAATTAGACATTGAACTTTGTGTCACTGACTATAGAAAAACTTGTGGCACTGAACATTAAAAAAAATCTTTCCAGCATTGAACGTCAAACTTCCTGGCATTGAACAATAAAAAAATGGCATTACACAATAAAAACCTACCTGGCATTGAAAGTTAAAAATCTTTCTGGCACTGAACGTTAAAATTCCTTCTGGTATTGAACATAAAATAACTTTCTGGCAATAAACATTAAACCTTCTGGCATTGAATGTCAAAAATATGTACTGAAATGGAACATTAAAAAACTCTCTGACACTGAATTTTAAAAAGCTTTCTGGCATTGAACATTAAAAAAAACTTTCTGGCTTTAAACATTAAACTTTCTGCCATTGAATGTTAAAAACTTTATGCAACTAAACGTTAAACTTTATGAAACTCAACGTAAAAAAAAAAAACATTCTGGCACTGACTGTAGAAAAACTTGTGGTGTTGAACGTAACTTGGGTTTACAGAACCACTCAGTGTAGAGGTTCTGTCAGAACGGCCATGAAGAACCAGGAGAATAAAAAGTCTTAATGTGTTAAAAACATGTATCAAACGTGCGTCTTTATTCTCTGACAGTATGTACATATTGCACATGCATCTGAAAGCATATAAATATACTGAATATTATCACTGTTTTTATGATGAACCAGGAACATCAAACACATTCAGCCGACGTCCAATCAGAGGGTTTGTCCATTTATAGTTCCTCCGAGACGTCAGCGGTGTCCGAAATATCAAGAGAAACAAAACCCTGAAAAACATTTGGTCCCAGATTAAAGGTTCTGTTGAAACCTGCGTCAGCGTCCAGATCAAATCTGATGTTCTTCTTGTTCTTCAGGCGCCATTCCACTTCGTTCCAGCTTCAGTAGAAACCAGTAGAATCACCTGAGATCATCAGACGGCTTTAGAAAAATAGAAATCTGTTCTCTTTTTTCAGTCTGAATGAGAGGTGGAGATCAGCAGAACCCAGGAGAACACAACACGTTCATGAAGAACAGATGAACCTTGTAGAAGATCGTGGACAAGTTGTTGAACAGAACAGAAGTAGAATAGACAGGTGGGTTAAATAATAATGACGCTGGAAGAGGACGGAGAACAGTGCGTTCTAAAGACTGGTAGGGAATCAGAGTCATCACAGTGGTTCCTCAGAGGAGGTTCTCTTGGCTGGAGAACCTCTGCTGCTCGTCAGTGGATGGACCTCATCAGGATGTGCTACCCTGTTCATTGACATGGCAGCACTTCCTGTCCAGAGGCTGTGATAACGACAGGAGAAGAAGAAAATTTATGATCTAAAAATGTTCAACATCAAGAACCACAACTAGTATTCATGAGTATCATTTTAAAACATTCTAACTCAAGTGGACGGCTAAATCCACGCCACAACTGTCACGAGAACAACCAAGTTATCGTTATAGTTATGATTCTTGACCGTTCTAGATCCACAGACTCTCTGTTCTAAAGGTTCACCAAACTCTCCCCCCTACACACTGTACAGACTCTATGTTCTAATGGTTGTGTAGGCTGCTCTATGGGTTCTAAAGACTTCTCTGTAGTTTTATATCACTGATCTTCAAAGCTACAGGATCTTCAAACTCTATGTTCTACAGGATCTACGGACAGAACGTTCTACAGGTTCTACGTACAGAAATGTTTTCAGGTTCTAAAAGCTGTAAAGTTTATTATACAGGTTTAAGAGACTTTAGATCAACAGTTTCAAGGTTCTAGAGACTTAAAGCCCCAATGATTTGTAGATATTGGGTTTAAGATGTTCTACAGACTTTATGTTCTACAGGATCTACAGACTCTATGTTCTGCTGGATCTATAGACTCTATGTTCTACAGGATCTACAGACTCTATGTTCTGCTGGATCTACAGGATCTACAGGCAGCTCTGATATCATGTCAGATAATGAAGACCGTTTTAGGAACAAATGTCGGTTCTTTGCAGTCGGACAAAACATTTTAACTTAAGGAAGTGACTGTGTCTGTCGGCTCTGACCTTTGACGTTGATACGCCTGGTCCAGTCTGGTTCAGACCTGGCATGGTTCCACAGTAGGAACACATCACACAGTGTTCACAGTGAAAACAGAGCGGTGATGCATATTACGGTCTGTACAGAGAGAAGACGGGGCAGTCTCACCATGTGTTTATCTCTCGCTGCAGCGGGGGCTGTTGGCCAATCGAGTCAGCAGACGAGCACATCTTTTATAATCTGAGAACATCAGAGCACAAAACAACAACAACATTTTGAATCTGGTGAAAACAGATCTAATCTACGGCTGCTGTGTCACAAGGCTCATGAAATCTTTAGCCTAGCTTAGCACAAGCTAGCCCCGGGCTAAAGTAGAACCGTATCATGTCAATTAGGTCATCAGTTTTCTGTCATGGTGGAAAAATGTCCCACTGGGCTTGTTGTTGTTGAAGGAACAGGAAATACAGAACACGTAAAAACATGTATGTTTAAAACCTGGAGCTCACATTCACTCAGCAGCTCTGCAACAAGTACTCACACTGTGTACTCAAATACATCCATTACCACTTGTATTAAAGTGTTTTACTCTGAGGTATCAGTAGTTGTATTAAAGTGTTTTACTCTGAGGTATCAGTACTTGTATTAAAGTATTTTTACTGTGAGGTATCAGTACTTGTATTAAAGTGTTTTACTCTGAGGTATCAGTACTTGTATTAAAGTATTTTTACTGTGAGGTATCAGTACTTGTATTAAAGTGTTTTACTCTGAGGTATCAGTACTTGTATTAAAGTGTTTTACTCTGAGGTATCAGTACTTGTATTAAAGTGTTTTTACTCTGAGGTATCAGTACTTGTATTAAAGTGTTTTACTCTGAGGTATCAGTACTTGTATTAAAGTGTTTTTACTCTGAGGTATCAGTACTTGTATTAAAGTGTTTTACTCTGAGGTATCAGTACTTGTATTAAAGTGTTTTTACTCTGAGGTATCAGTACTTGTATTAAAGTGTTTTACTCTGAGGTATCAGTACTTGTATTAAAGTGTTTTTACTCTGAGGTATCAGTACTTGTATTAAAGTGTTTTACTCTGAGGTATCAGTACTTGTATTAAAGTGTTTTTACTCTGAGGTATCAGTACTTGTATTAAAGTGTTTTACTCTGAGGTATCAGTACTTGTATTAAAGTGTTTTACTCTGAGGTATCAGTACTTGTATTAAAGTGTTTTACTCTGAGGTATCAGTACTTGTATTAAAGTGTTTTACTCTGAGGTATCAGTACTTTTATTTATAGAAACGGCTTTGAGTACATAACTAAGGTAAAAGTACTCGGATACTTTCTGCTCTGACACAAACTAACAGTTAATAAAACACAAAGTGTTTCTGTTTGAACAGTTTGAACTGATTGAGTCCTGCAGGGACAGGCCAACACACACACACACACACACACACACAGTGTGTGTTATCAGTCAGTAATCATGTCAGAACAGCAGCAGCTCCTGTGATCTTAAATCATGCATGTAGCGCTGTGTTTATCTTGGAACGAGTGTGTGTTAACAAAAATGTGTGTGTGTGTGTGTGTGTGTGTGTGTTAACAAAAATGTGTGTGTGTGTGTGTGTGTGTCTTAAAACAAGTTTTGTGTGTGTGTGTACTCACAGGCAGGTATGGTACAGTCTCTGGTGTTGTGGTAAAGTCTGTGGAAATGTTTCCTGCACTTTGGGTTGAAGTAAAGAGGACCTGAGGACAGAGTGAAACACAGTTTAGGGACGCCGTGCTCTGATTGGAACAAGGGCTGTGACAAAGCATCTCATTAGCATATTCAGGTATGTTATTATAATGTTCTAATAAAGTTTAACAAAGCACTGTTCAAATGTGACGATTTCTTCACTTTGAGCATGTTAATAACGTGAAGCTAGTCGTGAAACATCGAGTACAAACATTACATCGTCCATTGTCTGCTCACATCATTTACTGATACCACACTGTACAAACACTCCATCACAAGTTCAATTCCTGCACTCAGGTACATCAGGATCGGCAGCAGATACTTCAATCAAAGGTTGTCCTGCCAGGTTGTCGAGGCAGGATGGTGTACCTGTCAGGTGTTCGTACCTGTCAGGTGTCTGATGAACTTTTCCTTGTGTTGAGGATCTCGGGGGTGACCCTCTGAAATAAAAACAAAAATAAATCAGCTCCAGTCGCAGTAGTGATGTTTATCTTTATACGACCATCCCCCACCAGTTTGCTGCATTGAATTTAAAATGCAAATTAATGGAGCAGAGCTGTCAACAAACAAACAAACAAACAAACAAATAAACAGGTACAGTTCAAAAGCTCCAGAAAAAAGTTATATTAAAGTAAAAAAAGTACTGTTCTAACAAAGTTTAATAAGATACAGTGACAATTAAGTTACAATAATTACTGTTAATTAATTTTGAATAAAATACTGTTCTAATAAAATAAAATAAAGCATTGTTCTATAAAATTAAATAAAGTACTGTTATAATAAAGTTAAATAACGTACTGTTCTATAAATTTAAATAAAGTACTGTTCTAATAAAGTAAAATAAAGTACTGTTCTATAAAGTTAAATAAAGTACTGTTCTAATAAAGTAAAATAAAGTACTGTTCTAATAAAGTTAAATAAAGTACTGTTCTATAAAGTTAAATAAAGCACTGTTCTAATAAAGTAAAATAAAGTACTGTTCTATAAAGTAAAATAAAGTACTGTTCTATAAAGTTAAATAAAGTACTGTTCTAATAAAGTAAAATAAAGTACTGTTCTATAAAGTTAAATAAAGTACTGTTCTATAAAGTTAAAGTACTGTTCTAATAAAGTAAAATGAGCTGCTGTTATAATAAAGTTTAATAAGGTAGAGTTATAATAAAGTTAAATAAAGTACTGTTCTATAAAGTTAAAGTACTGTTCTAATAAAGTAAAATGAGCTGCTGTTATAAAGTTTAATAAGGTAGAGTTATAATAAAGTTAAATAAAGAAATGTTCTAATAAAGTAAAATAAAGTACTGTTCTATAAAGTTAAATAAAGTACTGTTCTAATAAAGTTGAATAAAGCACTTTATTTTACTTTATTACAACAGTACGTTATTCAACTTTCTTGGAACAGTACTTTATTTTACTAATTAATTCGAATAACATACTGTTGTAATAAAGTTAAATAAAGTACTGTTATGATGGATAAATCCATCAGTGGCCCCATAAAAGCTTTAAAACAAGAAATACCCAGGACCCCAGACCTGCAGGGGCCCCAGACCTGCAGGGGCCCTCACTTCCCCACATTCACTGTGTGTTAATCTGATTACCTCATCATGTCTCTGTACTGGTGATAGCTGGGGCCAGAGGCATTATGTTTTTGGGTTGTCTGTCCGTCCTCCTCTCATGAACACATTATCTCAAAAACACCTTGAGGGACTTTCCTCAGATTTGGCTAAAATGTTCACCTGGGCTCAGTGCTGAACTGATTGGGTTTTAGTGGTCAGAGGTCAAAAGGTTACTGTGACCATGTGTCCATCTCATTCCTGTGAATGTGATCTCAAGAAGACCTTGAAGGAGTACCCTCAAGTTTGGCACAAACATTTGCTTGGACTCATGAATGACCTGATTTGGTGGTTCAGAGGTCAAAGGTCATTGTGTCCTTACTGAACATGTTTATGGCTGTAAGTCAAGAATTTATACACTTACAATGACAAATTTTCACACAAACGTCTAATGGTAAGTCTTGTCAAGTCAAGTTCAGCTTTCTGAGTCCCATGATTATGATTATTACAAATGAATCCATCATTGAAATATCTGCTCTGAGGTAAAAAACAACCCGACACTGAAGAAGAAGAAGAAGAAGAGGGCTGATGATGTCACCGGGCTGAGGACCCTGAGGTGCTGGCTATCAGCTGACGGCTCTAATGGAGCCCACTGTAAATGCCCTGACGAGTTAAAGTGGAGTCGACCTGACTGATCCAAACAACCAGATGTCCTGAGGTGATCCAGCTCTGAGTGTTGTGACGTTCGCTGCTCCAGAATCAACTCTCTGTTTGTGCCTTATGTAACTGCTGCTGGTGGTTGTTTACCCAGCTCAGACCTTAGATTCTGTTCGTCCGACAAAACATTAAAAACTCATCGTTAACATTCACTGACGTAAAAGGAGCCACAGGTCACCGTCTGGACGTCTGGACCGTATTCACAAAGCTTCCTAGCACTAAGAGTAGCTCCTAGTGATGAAATTCTAAGAAAATTCTTAGAATCGTGACTTTTTCTTAGAATTTCCCCTTAAAGTTAAGACCAGGTCCGTGTAAAGATAAAAGTTATTCACAAAACATCTTCCACCTGAAAAGAGATCCTAAGGTGAAAAACTGTCAGGAGCAGAGACGAGGACTTCAAGAGGTTTAAGAGCAGACAATGGTGGAAACACAAAGAGGTCTGAGAAATATTCTCCAAACACTGAATGACCGTGAGTAAATGAAATGCCACAGCTTAGATTGTGCAGGGATAATGTTTGTGGTCGATCTAATTAGGGGTATGCACACATTTCCCACCTAACACAATATCATTATAACGGAAGATGATCACAACACTAAGATACTTGAAAAACTGTAAAAACACAACAGTGCAGCAGTGATGACTTTGGTCTGTCTCAACCTTCCATCAGCAGTGACCACACTAACAATGATGACACTTTCACAGTCTCATATTGTGATGCAGTTCATTTCATTTCCACTTGGTGTCCACACCTTGCAGGCCCGCAAAAGGCTGCGTCTGTGACAACCAATCACAAGCATCGCACCTAGCAACGGGGTCAACCGTGGTTCTTCACTAAGATAAAGGTTTCTGTCCCTTCCTTGGTCAGAGTTGCTCTGAGAACTTTCCTAAATCACTCCTAAGCTAGGACTCCTTACTAAAAGTCTTTAGGCTGAGTTAAGAGCTCTGTGAGAGTGTTCTCAGAATGTTTGTGAATACGGCCCCTGAACTTTAACCTCCAGAGGTGGAGGAAGTATTCAGATACTTTACTGAAGTATAAAAGTACTCAGTTCTACATCAAAGTCCCGACTTTGAAATGTCACAATAATCAGGAAGACGTACTAAAGTGTCGTCCCTTTAATGTCCTACAGAGTAGTGGTAGTTGTAGTAATAGTAACAGTAGTAACAGTAGTCGTTGCAGTAGCAGTAGCAGTAGTAATAGTAACAGTAGTAACAGTAGTCGTTGCATTATCAGTAGCAGTAGTAATAGTAACAGTAGTAACAGTAGTCGTTGCATTATCAGTAGTAATAGTAAAAGTAACAGTAGTAACAGTAGTCGTTGCAGTAGCAGTAGTAATAGTAACAGTAGTAACAGTAGTCGTTGCATTATCAGTAGTA